TGCGTGTTTAGCGTGTCAAAAGTCAAAAATAACGCGACATGTTATAAGTCCGTGTGGTATTTTTAATGTGCCGAGTGATCGTTTTTCACATGTACACATCGATATAATCGGTCCTATGGTCATGTCACGTGGTTGTACTTACTGTTTAACCGCTATAGACAGATTTTCTAGATGGCCAGAAGTTTTTCCAATTCAGGATATTTCGGCTGAAACCATAGCTCGTACGTTATTTGAAGGCTGGATAGCTCGATATGGAGTTATGGAGAGATTGACAACAGATCAAGGACGGCAATTTGAGTCTACTCTGTTCACCGCAGTAACGCAAATTTTAGGGTTTAGAAGAATACGTACATCAGCATATCATCCACCAGCCAATGGTTTAGTCGAACGATTCCACCGATCACTTAAAACGGCAATAAAGTGTTACGAGACTGAGCACTGGACAGATGTACTCCCCTCAGTTCTTATGGGCCTTAGATCAGTGATTAAAGAAGATCTAGGTTTAACACCTGCAGAAATTGTATTTGGAAGTACGATTAGATTACCTAATGAGTTTTTTATGCAGTCATCAGTGGCGACAGACCCTTGTTCCTTTGCTGAAACACTAAAGAAAACAATGGAAACCATACGCCCAGTGTCAACTTCAAACCACGGAAGTAAAAAAGTTTTTATATATAAAGATCTAGCATCCTGTTCACACGTTTTCGTTCGGGTCGACCGGGTCAAGAAACCGCTAGAACAACCATATGAAGGGCCGTACAAAATTGTTCAACGATACGAAAAAACCTTTAAATTATTAATTAGGCAAAAAGAATGTATCATATCAATAGACAGACTGAAGCCATGTTTCAACGAAAATGAAGATAATAACACAAATCTATCAATAACAACGAACCAGCACAACCAGAGAAATACAACTACAAGACCAACAATAATACAAACAAAACAAACCAAGTCAGGAAGAACCATCCGCCTCCCCGTAAGGTTTTTGTAAATTGTGAATTGTATCACTTTTATATTTGTATTTGTATTTTTATATTTTATATTTGTAACTATGTATGTTTAACGTAAAATTATCGTTTTCACTGGAAAGGGGGTAATGTAGGGATTAACAAAGATGTTAAATAACATGTCACAATGAATGCGTTTATATATGTTTATATGTTTTATCTTAGATGTACTGCAGTACGATAACACTCCGTGTATTTTTTTTAGTCTCGCGCTGTTCGTCAATCCAGTGACACTTTTTATTTGTACTCTTTTTTTTTATGTTGTATAAAATCATTTTTCATTATTAAAAATTATTAATTATTATAAATTTTAATTGTAGTATTTTGTAATGAATATAAACACCAAAACACCAAAACACTACAATAGCAGTTCACGCATATCAAAAATATTTGATAAGTGATTTAAAGACAATATGTCCTTTAACAAAAAATTATATATTTTAGTGACGGTGCCGTCAGTCAATATAAGAATAAAAAAATTGTTATGAATATAAGCTATCAAAATGAAGATTTTAGAATTAAAGCTAAGTGGAATTTTTTGGAGTCCTGCCACGGAAAAAATGCAAGTGATGGTGTTGGTAGCACAACAAAAAGACAAATTACAAAGTATAGTTTACAGAGTGTGTGTGAAAATCATATATAAACTCCAGAAGCAATGTACAATTTTGTGTTGAAAATATAACAGGAATAAAATATTTTTTCGTTCCTGCAAGTGAAGTTAATAAACATGCAAAAAAGTTAAAACGAAAATTTGAACTTTTTTAAAGTTGTGTTTCTAAAAAAAAGGCAAAGTAAAAAATTTCAAAACACAATTAAATTATTATACTGAATAAAGTTAATATGATTAAAAAAATGGTATTTCATCATTAATTTTAATTTTAAAAATATCATTTTTTTACAAAAACAAAAAAAAACCTTTTTCAAAATTACTTAAAAAATAAATTAAAAATTAAAAAACCCTATTGTTAAATACTGGACATGTTAGAAGACCTCTGGAAACTGATACTGAAAAAGTGATGAAATTTTCATGTTTTTAGAATAAATACATAGGTATCAAGGGATATTTTTACGAAATACCGGTATTTTGAAATTTCAAAATTTTAACAGGTCATAAATCTACTTTCACCAAAAAATTTTTTTTTGTTTTTGAACATTTTTTTCATTTAAATACTAGGCAACTCATGTGTGAAATTTCAAAAATCTTTAAAATGGTCATGCGACTACTCGGGATTATTTCATATGGATTGACCCTAGAGAATAATAGAAATGATAAGTTTTCTTTGGAAAGTTTTTTTTATATAAATGAAAAACCTCAGTACAGGAAATGTTTGAAAGTCTGAAAACTTTTAATGTTTATCTAATTATAAGTTTTGAATTGTACGACAGCAAAAAGCTTTATTAAACTATATTAAATTCCATTAGGAATTTCAAAAAATTAATAAATAAATTATTATAATCACATCCAGTGTCGCAGTACTAAGATGGGGGCTGTGTACCAAGCACATCCAGGTTTTGTTAGTTTCTATTAATTTACTCGAGTAGTGAAATCGTGAGAAATTATCTTAAAAAACATATTCTGTTAATCGACATTTGATTTTAATACCAACGTACAAACTATTACTATAAATTCTGTCACAACATAAATAACTAACAATTTGTTAATATCCCCGCTGTTAGAGAGACATGTTTACTCTAAAAAATGTCAGTAATTTTATCAAAAAGATACCTAAAAAATAATTATTGAATAATAAAGGCCACAACACAATTCGGAAGTATTAATGTCCTAGTAAAATATTTTTACCGTGCAATGCATATGACATGACATTCATTGTTACATGATGATAATTTTAAAAAGAAATTCTACTTTAAATTAATTCATAGAACTCGTTTAAAGTGAATTACTCCAAAGCAATATAAAGCAAAACTATAAATTTCATTGTTCCCATCATTAGGCACACGTTTTACTTATAAATTGACCTTCGGTTGGCGAATACCAAGATTTACTACTTTTATTTTCACCACCAACAACAACACTGAATAGTTTACTGGTCAACCCCATAAATCATAAAAAGTGACAAGCAATAATTTTTGTCGGAATCGTAATATATATATATATATATAAACACTTATCCGTACAAGAAAAATTTGCTACGTGTTTCTTTCATGTGACCTACCTTTATTGATGATGTCTTAGATTAACGTAATTACATTCCATAAGAAAATATCACTTTGTATTTGTATTTCAGTATAAAAAAAAATAAAAGCCGATTACAAGTTTAATTTTATATTAATTGAGCAATATGTGGCTAAATAAATTATTTAAGAGGAAATAAAAAAATTAACCCGTTTTTCTCTACAGAGGCGTTGACTATTCTATATTTGGAACTTATTTTTAAGATTCGATAAGAAGTAGAGGAGGTATTTAAATTTAAAATTAGTGTCTGAAATTGATTTTGATTACGCAAAAGTACTATTTGTACATAAATAATTTTGGTGTAAAAAAAATGTGTTATTGAATATTAGCTTCTATACGAAACTGAGAAGTTATTGTTTTTGGCATTCAAACCACTCTATTGCGTCTGAGATAAATTTTTTATGAATAAATCTTACTTTTAAGAAAATAATTTAAATAGATTCAGAATAGTATCTGAGCGGAACTATATCAGTGGCGTAATTATATACATTTATAAATGTTGTTAAATTATTTCAAATACACCATCAGTCAGTATACATCTTTATTTGATTGACTTGAAAACAGCAATGTGTTATTACCAAGACTAAAATTTTTTTTGGATGGGAAGATTAGAATTACCCTTTCTTAAAACGAAAAATATTTCTACGTTAGTATATTACTCTACGAAATTTTATATAAACGCATATATTTCCAGATCATAGTAAGAACCAATCAAAATGCACGAGAAAAATAACAAGCTATTTTACAAAATTTTCAAAATGATGGAAAACAGATTAAATTATATTTTGTTACTAACAAAGTCAGGAGAATATTTTATTTATTATTTCAAATTTAATAGTTATGAAATAAAGTATATGATGCAAGTAAATTTTTTCACAAATCACTTTACCTATTATGTGTTTAAACAGCTCTATTTAACAGACACTGTTCCGATGGATGTTATGTATAATTTTAGATTTAAATTATAATATATTTTATTTATGCAATAAACAAATAAAATTGTTGGTGGGCGTTCAATTTTAGAACTGAAATTGAAATGATGAGTTGGTGAAGCATTTGTCCCAGTCTAGTATAATCTGAAGTAACACTCATATCCTCTTTTAAAACACGTGACAAATATTTTTCATGATACCTTAAATACTTTACTTTTGCCTAATTTTAATATATTTAGGTTACTATTCGACCGATTTAAACGTTCAGTGCCAAAGCCTCCAACCATTGTTTTGAGTATTTTGTTTCGTTAATGCTATTCCACCTACACTTAAACACATAAAGTAATATATATTCATAATTCGAGCACGTCGTTGTAACAGCTGTTGTTGACGAGCTCTTTTCCAGTTGGGTACAATACCGTGGGAATGATAACACAACACTAAGATACAGTCGAATACCGTTATAGGTAACATATTAAAAGTCGTATCATCGGTTTAAATAGCAGATTTCAATAATTGAACAGACCTAATGTTTTAGATTTGGAGTACTAATATAATTCATTTTCGAAAATTTTACAGAGTACATTTATGATAAATTTGTATGGATACCACCAGCATTTTTTTTTCAATTGAGAATAAACTGGTACGTTAAATGATTGGCGATGGACTACTTAAATATTTGGGGGTTTTCTACAATGTAAAATTTAGTTTACAGTTTTTTGTTTTAAAATCAGAAAANTTTTCTACAATGTAAAATTTAGTTTACAGTTTTTTGTTATAAAATATTTGTTAATACATATATATCGTTATGGAAAATAAAACACATATTTTTGCGTTTAAGCAATCAGCCCGTGATTGACTCACCTAAACAATCCGCAGTACGATGTGGTGGTATCAAACGACTGGTCAGGCGGTACTACCCGATCAAGAAATTTTGGTGTGAGTGTTAGTGAAGATACAGCTGCCAAGAAATTGCTATCTCCGTATTCGCCAGGTTCAACACCGCATCGGGCAGTTCGGACAGCATCTCCTCCAACAACAACTCCATTTGACCCTAATCCATTACTTTGAGGCGACTTCCGTGATGATTCCACCATAAATTTAGGTCTTTGGCACATTTCCTGTTATAGAATAAATTATTATTATTATTATTATTATACTTTAATATTATTATCAGGGTTGTAGTAACAGATGGAATGGAGGGGTGTGACACTCACTATCTGGCGAAATTTAAACGTTTTAGTTGGTAATTTTTTAATATAAAAGGATGCTACCAAAATATAATTATTAAAAAACGATAGTACAATTAAAAAAAATAATAATAATTAAATGACAAAAATAAATTTTTCACCCTTCCATATTACTAGCTTCGAGACGGACCTGATTTTTATTATTATCGCATGATATTATTAACTGTAAGTGAACTTTTTATAACTCGGTTCAGTCGAATTTAGACGATTTTTGACTTTCGTCATAACTGAGGAACTTAATTCGAATGGTTACTGGTAAAATTCTCATATAGTTACTAACCACATAAAGTTTTATCATGGTAATGGATAATAATCAATGATCACCCATTCAATAAATATTAACAGTTAGAAGTTTTACTTAAATTATAATTTGTGTATGAGGTGTTTAATGCGCCAAACCAGCTCTCTAATACTACGTATAAAATTCAAGTTGAAAATTTACATTGAATAGATTTAATTAAAGTAATTAACCCAACAAGTAACAATTAGCCCAAGGCTTTTGTCTTGCCATACAACTGTAAGGAAATTATAATAAATCATCTAATGTGTTCATAAGTAATTAAATGTATTATTTCAATCATTCAAAATAAAACTTATAGGTAATCATGATTTAAACAATTCGATTATTTTAAAGTACCGCGGCGTAGTACCTTTAAATTCATTAAAAAGTAACATACAAACGCTAATGAATGCTGCGATAAATACATACAAGAAGTAATCTGTCATCTTTTACTGGTTAATGTTCATCCGCATCCATTACGTACGATCTTACAAAAAAACTGAAAGTCAATACATGATAAATGAGCAGGAAATAATTGCGTTTTTAATTAATACGATTGTAAAATTATACGTTTATATTAAAGTTAATTTAAGAAATAAATAAGTTTATCGGTTAATCCCTATATTATAAAAAAAATTAATAATTTTTATGTAATGTAAACACACGAGTTTATTTGAAGTTATTTCGTTGTTAATTCCGAATCAGGCTTTTGATTGGTTAAAAATTTTGAGATAATTGCTCATAGGTGAAAATCAGGTAGTAAATTAATTGCTCATAAAAAAATTTAAAAAATTGTTCTAATAATCCCATTTCAAACTTTAGTGGGCTCTATTTAGGAGATATTTGCGAAATTTGATATCCTCATCTCAAGTACATGCTACTATACAACGCCTTCAAAGTTGATTATGACGGCCACATTACAAAAATAAAAGCTAAACTTTACCCTTTTACCTTTTTTTTAGCTTAAACCTATAATTATAACTTATTTATTGATAGGAAAGTTTATAAGGCTTTAAAAATATTATTTTTATTTTTCTATCATAAATTAAATAATTACTGTTAACAGTAATAAATAGTGAATAGTTCTACATTATGATATTATAACAATATTTTTGTAAAAATTATTTTAATATAAAAATTAAATATACAGGTAACCCAGCACTCGCTGACAACTTAAATAACTTTTGATCCAGTTCATATTTTTTGCTAATTTTTTTTTTTAATATATAATATACTTATGGGCTATAATAACAATTTAATAAATATCATTTTTATAAATAAATAAAAAAATTATAATTTTAAAAATTTACGAGAAATATTTAAAAAAAATTCAAAAAAGCCATTTTTTAGAATAAATTTTAAGAAATAATTTCTCATTAATATTTGTAGTTAATTTTCTGTAACATTTTAAATTTTCTAAAAATTCGAATTTTTCTGTATTTATTTTACGGTATCAAACGCTGGCTATGTTTTATAATAAAGGACAGAAGTAAATACAATCTTTTCACACTAAATATGATATGTATCTATGACATGATATGGATTTTTCCATTAAAATTGTTAACGTTCTAATGACCGGCTTTAATTCAAATAAAAATATGAACAATAACTATTACTTAATAAGTAGTTTTACCTCTAAAGAGATAAAACTACTTATTCTAACTAAAATTAAAATTTATTTATCACAATTCTAGATTAATATTATACTAAGTATAAGGTCTATTGTATTTACAAACATGGTATTAATACGATGATAAGAAATTTGATAAGGCAATTATTACTAATTATTCTCATTCAAATGCGCAAGTAATTTTCATGGAAAAAGTATACACCTCCAAATTATAGTAATCATGAAAAGATAGTGTTTTCTTATGTCCTTATCTCAACGCGTATTTCCAATGTTTAATACCGTAAAATAATACATGAAAATTCATATTTTCATAAACTTTAAAATAGTACAAAATATTTACTACTAAATATTAATAAGATATTTTTTTACCAAAATTTTTCTTAAAATCTACTCTATACAATAGCTATTTTAGATTTTTTGTTTTACATTTTATTTAAAATTTAAAAATAATTTCTAATTTTAATATAATGTAAAAAATTGAATCATTAAGATATAGTTATAAACCTAACGTATAACTATTATTTAAAAAAAACGGTAGCACAGTGGGGTCGAGGCACAGTATAGACGTGGCATAGATGAGATAAGTATAGATGATATCTGACAGTGATTAAAATCACTATCATAAGAAACGCTTCGATGCAAATCTGTAGATAGTGTTTCCTTTAGAGAAATTGGTGGATTATTCCAAAAGCAACATGAACTCTTATTTCTTTAATTATATCCTGATTAGTAGTTCTTTGATTTTAAAATATAATATATGAATAAATACTAATTATAGTTTTTAAATTTAGTATGAAATTGTGAGGCCAGCTATGATGTATGGTTAATAGTGTTGGGCGGTTGATAAGAAAGTAGAGCAGAGAATAAGTGTAGCAGAGATGAGAATGCTTAGTTGGATGAGTGGAGTGACTAGAGAAGATAGGATAAGGAACGAGCATATAAGAGGAAGTATAGGTGTTGCGTCAATCGTGGATAAGATGACAGAAAATAGACTTAGATTGTTTAGTCA